GATGCGCCTTTTGTGCCCGAGGAGGAGCTGGCGACGAACGGCGTGGCTAATGGCGACACCGCCACCGACTCTGGCGAGTCCAGCGCGCCCAAGAACGTCAATCCGAACACGCGAATCCACATTTACAAGTCTGTGCACTCCAAGAACCAAAAGGTCAACCCGGTAGCGGCATGGAAGCTTTCCAATCAGCGCATCAACGCATTCGCGTTCAGCCCTGATAACCGCCACTTGGCCGTGGTCTCCGAGGATGGCTCGCTGAGGATCATTGACTACTTGAAGGAGGAGTGAGTTTCGGCTATTCCCAGTCTGAGGGATGACATTGACAAGAGACCAGGCTGCTCGACCTTTACCACTCGTACTACGGCGGTTTGATCAGCGTGTGCTGGTCGCCTGACGGCAAGTATGTTCTTACAGGCGGACAGGATGACCTGATCTCCATCTGGTCTGTTATCGACCACGCCATCATCGCTCGCTGCCAAGGCCATCAGTCCTGGGTTACCTCGGTGGCGTTTGACCCGTGGCGATGCGATGACAAGAACTACCGGTTCGGCAGCGTCGGCGAGGACCGCAGGTTGTGCTTGTGGGATTTCAACGTTGGCATGCTGAGCAGGCCAAAGGCGGTATGTACCTTCGTTCCACAGTCTTCGGTGAGCGGAACCTAATTTTTTCAATAGGCATCCGTCCGCCAACGAGGCTCGATTTCTTCTCGTTTCCCCGGCTCCACGACGCTGCAGCGCCTCGAGACGGGCAACACGACGACTAGTGGACGCCTGCGGTCCAACTCTGCCCTCTCGACGGCGGATATCGATGACGACGAGGAGGGCATCGTCCACCCTGTGGAGCCCCGCTCACACACTGCCATGCTCCCACCTGTCATGGTATGATACCTCACCCTTGATGACATGACACTGTTAACACGTGACGCAGTCCAAGGTCATTCACCCTAGTCCCATGTGCTGGCTCGAGTTCACCGAGGACTACATCATGACGAGCTGCAAGTCTGGTATGTTGTGATTTCTTTCAAACCATGTCTAAAATTGTCGGCTAACACTTTCGAAGGACACATCCGCACCTGGAGCAGGCCAACAGAGTCGGCGGTTCCAAAGGACGGAGCAACACAGCCTGCGAAATAGAAAATGATTTATAACCCGGGATTGGATGAACTTTCTATGGACAGGAGGGTTTGATTTGACCCTTGCTGTTCTCACCTGATACAATTTGTACATATGAATGCGATATTAGAGGGAAGTCCACTGGGCTTGATTGGCTGTGGCAATTTGAAGTTAAGTTGGGTTCCGACGAGATCGAGTCTCGTTTTCACAGTGAATGCCATATCTGAAAACAGAAGCGTCGACCTCAAAAGTACTTCACAGAGGCCTGACTTTGCTTCGACTTGTTGATGTTCCGAGTCTGCAAAGAATCGGCCTCCACGAGCACTGCGATGATCACGAAGTGATTGGGTGACGCTGATGGGTCCCAAACAGCGCAAAAGGCCCGCGCTGACGGCCTTACGGCTTTCTCCGCACAAAACGTTTGCTGCATTGCTAGTCCTTGTCTTCGCATTTCGGTTCCAGTCTATACGTGGGTTGTATATACCTGAGTGGGGAGCAAGCTCTGGCTCAGGTGGGGGTGGAAGCATGGAGCACTGCAATGTTGCAGGTAACAAGATGAGATGAAAGAAAGCATCCCCACGAGCTCCAGTCTCCATCCCACCCAGCCTTGCATAGCAGTCAATTCCCATCCTTCTTCGTGCCGGTGAGTGGCTTGCGGAGCGGCTCCGTTACATCGGTGCGCTGAGCGACGTCGTGGCCTGGCTACCGTACTCGGAGTCGCCGAAAAGGCCAATCATCCTAAGGTTTCGTTTCCATAGCAAGCCATGCTGGCGTCGGTGCTTGATTCATGGTGAGGCGGTTATACGAGTAGCCTTCAAGCGCAGCGGGCTTGCCCCTGAACGGAATGAGGTTGCAGCTACGAGCAACAGAAAAGCTGTTGAAAGACCTCTCAAGCACCAACAGGTGCATTGTAAAATTAGGACCAAAGAGGCCAGCTCAAGTGTTGATGTCCATAATCAACAGATGCCTTCACACCATCTCGATCATGTTTCATAGTCATTGTAGCAAGATAATTAC